ATTTAAAGGAGGTGGAAAGCAGGTCGCTCTCAATAAGAAACAAGCAGATGCGATACGAGCGCGCGTGAAAAAGAAAAGAGATGCAAGGCATGTTTCACAAGCGACCTGTTCAAGATCTTTACAAACAAAACCAGAATTTTTTAAGGGAGTTAGCCAGAGAGGAGGAGAGGAATTATGTGGAATTTCGAAAAATGGAAATACTGTACCAATTTCGGCCAAAGTCAGCTGCGACATCGAGAAATCCAGATGATGTCGGTTGCTTCGTTTTATGTTTCACTTTAACTTTTCAAGACTAGGCCTGCAGATAAGTTCCCGGGCGTTTTATAACCCGAATTTCTTGATGTTCCTTCTCTATGCTAGGCCGTACTGTGGTGCAACCTATTCGTATGCTTTTGTCATAGATTCTGCTCCAATCTCTGGTGTCTTTTAATCTGATGCAGTCCACCAATTTGATTTACTAGAACTTAAATTAGAATGAAGATTAACACAGTTGCGTTTTCTAAGGTCAATTCTCAGTGCTCAAGGAACAATCGTCGAAATTTTACTGATATACACAACAAGAAGCTGCCTAATCAAGTAGCTTTCAATTCTTCTTCCTAGAGCCCAATTTCCAGCAGCAATCTACCCTATTTCAAGAGTTGCTAGGGTTAATTATCAAAAATGAGTGAATTTGCTTTACAGTCATTTCCCCGTCGAAAGCGAGGCGTCTCGATGGGTTTCGGAGAACGAAAAGCATATTTTCTTTCAATACGACCAAATCCAAAGTTTGCGACATGGTTTGGAAAGAAGAAGCATCTTCCATCGCCAGACAGCAAGTATGTCTGAGTCAATTAGCATTTTGAAATGTTTAACGAAGGCCAATTTTATAGCAAAAACAAAATATTACTTCCAATGGCACCAGTGCCCGTTCGCCAGCTACCTGAGAAAAGCCCACGTGAGGAAGATGACGACGATGGTGAGCTAAAGCAGTGAGAAGATCTGATTGCTGAATGAATCAGCACGATGAAACGAAGTCGATCCATCTTAAAATTTTTTCCTTGTCGTTAAATCAGGCTGTCGAGTACTCGAGTAGGAGTATTAGTCGAGACTTTCTAAGAAGGTAGATGCTAAACGTTCATAAAATCAAATGAACTGGTAGTTTATATTCCTGCTTTGAAATGTGACGAAAAGGTCATTTCTATTATATCAATGTACACAGCTAATTGTAAGTATTTCTTAATTTAACGATGTGATTCCTTCATCATATAAGTAAAATTCGGCGTCTGACTCAGTAAGTACTCATGGCCTCATAACAGAAGCACAAAGAATATCTTTTGTTTCATTTCATTAGCTAAAAAGTATAACATCTCAATGCGAGGACAAATAACAGCCGCGTATAATATTGCTTACTGGAGAAGATGACACCAGTTTTATATTTTTAGACGACAGTCGTCGTTCAGTAAAAAAGGGAATCAATGCCAAGAATCCATTTATAAAAGGATGCCCTTTCTGGACAGTGGCAACTGGGTTAGTGGATAATGTCTGGAAGATTGATAACAGACGATGAAAATCACTTTAGTGATGAAGAGGAAATGGCAGAAGATGA